GGGGAGTTTTTCGCCCTGGGTCCTTCCCTTCCTTGGAAGGGCCGGGTTTTGGGGGCCAATTTCCATTTTTTTTTGGGGGTTCCCAAAAAGTTAGCCCCTTTAGGTGCAAATTTTTTGGGGTTTTTTCCCCCCCAGGGGGGGGGAAATAAGGTTTAAGTTGGGGTGTTTTGGTGTTTGAAGGGCCCTTAGGGCGGATTCCAGGGAGTTTCGGGCGGCGGGGCGGGGGTGGGGGGGGAGGGGGGTCATTCTTTAGGACCAGTGATGAAAGCTGCCTGATGTATTTCATTCGATGACTGACGTGGATTGTACTCGTATACGTAGATTGTAGAGGGAAGATGTAGACGGGATTGAGCAAAACAAGCAAGGTCCGATACGATATTACGTGCTGGTGTGTGATTTTATTGTGGAGGTCGTGTATTTTTTCTCTCACGTGTCTCTGATTCGTTCTTAACGTTAGGCTACTGGGTTACTGCTGTGGTTTTTGGTCTGGTGTGTGTACGTGCTCTCGGCAAAGCACGCGTGCATGCTGTCGAATAAGTGGCCGCGAAATTGGGACTCCTGCAAGAAGAGGTTTCGGCTGCTTCCACCGCCACGCATAGGGAAGTGACTCCAAGAGAAATGCTTACATCGCGCAAGTTTACATAACCGATGGTGTGGTTTTGACGTGAGCAGGACAAGCAGGGCGAAGAAATGTTTGAGTGACCCGGTTTTTCTGACGCTCGTGGTTGGCACTGGGACTTGACCCATTCATGACCTGTAAAAAATGTTGAACGCCGCATGTCACCCATTTACCCGAGATGACGGTTTCTCGGGTGACCTAACAGAGACGGATGCCGAAAGAAACAAAACGGGCGCGGCGCGTTGAACTTGCAGGGAACCGTTGAACTTGCAGGAGATTATCAATCAATGTTCTTAGTAGAACGCACGTTCTCTCTGTACTGCCGTGCCGCCCACCTTGCTTGTCAGTTCAGTCCACGAAAGAGCGCAAAATGTTGATGAGAGGAGAGACGAGATTCACGAAAAAAACTGAAACAACCATCTATTGTACCAAACATCCAGGAGGGGCGGGTGGGGGCAGGAGGAATACGTCTGTCTTCGAAGTCCTTTTTCCAGATAATCTCGAGAATATCCATCGACGGAGAAAAAAACTACTGTAACTTGCTTCATTTAGATAATAATCCGGAGCGCCAACTCCAAAACCAAGTAAAAAACGGGAATGCAGCCGAACAGGGGTTGTCAATTTTCTGGGGCCGAGAACCTGGGGTAAAATTCAAAATTCAAATATACGGTAGGTCTGAGAATTTTCGCTGACAGAAACTATGTCAGCTCATCGTATGCATACGGCTGGCTTCAGAAAGGGCGTCAGAATGTATATTTCGCCCGATTTCGTGCTTCGCAAGGGTACCCTCGAAAATTCCGGACACATGGTATAGGCCGCCCCCCCTGGGAGGGCAACTTCGTTTTCGTTTTTCATAGGAATTAGTATAGGGGGCTTCGTTCACGAAAATAAATCATTGTCCCCCCTACCGCAGAGGGGTTTCCATCCACGGTGCCCCTCATACGCAAATATTAAGACATTAGAGTCCCCCCATCCCCCCGCCCCAGCGGGCCCAGATTCGAAGTAAATAAGTAGGGTGTCTTGAATCTATTTTCGCGAGAACACAAACTACGCATACACGAAAAGTCGCGACGAGCAAAAACAAACACTTGTACCCCGCACACGATGCAAACTTCCAGGCAAAAAGGCGAAACCGGCACCCACTACCGAACGTCATGACGTTGAGATGCAACGATACGACCGCGATGACGTTGATAGACCGTGCCCTCCTGCGTCGCCACCGAGAGTCAAGCCACCCAACTCCCGAAGGGGAGCCTTCCTTGTGTTGCTCGTACCCATGCATTTATTTGTTCTCCCGGTGTCCGTAGGTATGTGCGCCAAACGCAGTCACCAAACGTGCATCTACATTCCACCTGCTAAAAAATCTTGTACACCAGTGGGTCCTTACATGCCCAACTCCAGCCGGGCACCAGGGGGAATATCGGCACTCGCCCTACTTTCATGAAAACACGCCGAGGCGCGCTCGGTTGTGCTGTTTTTCCTTGTGTTTTTTACGGGGCGAAAACCGTCTACCGTGAGTGAGTGAGCTCCAGCCAAAAACCCGAAGTCGACGGAAGCCGCACGGGCGCAGGTACGATATCGAATGCGACGACATACTACCGACAAAAAAATCCTCCGTTGGCTTGCTCGCGTTTCACCCGGACTCTCGCCACCAACTCCGTGGAACGCGTCAAGACCTTCAATCCCAATCGACTCTCCTGTACAATGAGTTCATTCATGGTAGTTCAACGTTTTACTAGCAAGAAGGCCTCAGCAGGGACGGCGTGTGCCCCTCGCCGCAACATCAAAATTGTCCCCAATACTGCTGATAATGGGTGCACCGCCCGATCAAACAAATCGCAGACGCGACGACGCAAAGGCTGGAAAGGAAACACGCGCTACTACTCCGAAACCAACCTACAAGGCCACAATTCAGATTCCGTGTACAGAAAAACGCATTTGCGGGACCACAAAAATAACGGGAGCCAAGGATACGTAGTTCGCTCGTCCAACCGTTTCACTACCCTGACCCCTCCAAAAAGACGACTAGATCCCGCTTGACCCCGAAGAATGTACTAAATGCTCCCCCCCCCCCCCCTCCGGTTTACTATAATCTTCGTTGCTTCCCAAGGAAATCGTCGCTTGTCTCTGTGTTCCAATACACATACTGCTATACCTTGATTCACCCCTTCCCTTCCAATGGCTGCGCACTCCGCTCTCTTTGAGAACGTGTATTCGTGATCATCCCGGAGTGAGCGTTTTTCTCCCCCCTCCAACCGAGCGGATTTAGGCCGGGCCCTGCAAAAGCCAACTAACGCGCTGGATATAAAAGATCAGTGGCGTATGCTCTCGTTCGTCATTTCTACGCGAGACGTGATGTACCATCATCTATTTGAAGAGGCTACCCACCACCCAACCAACGTGCCGCAAACACGCATAATCCCCGCAATCATCACCGAGCTTGCCGATATCGTGCACCCACGACTTGGTAGCTGCCGCACGGGGTCCCACGAACCGTTTTTGATCTCGCCGACTACCACGCTGTTCGTGTTCCTCGACTCAGCAAAATGTCCAACAAAATGGTCTTCATCAAGCGTACCCCTTTACGGGGCCTGGTGACGAGGGTCGTGTTGTCTCGGAAACGAAGCTTGGCCAGCCTCCGATCCTACATACCCTGTTGTCGTACCCCCCCTCCCCCCCCCCCCCCACACATCACCCCCCAAACTCCACAATATTCCAGGCAACGGTGCGTTTTTGCCCCAAACGATGTTCCATGTACCGTTGCGTTTTCGCGGCTGACACGCCTTGTATGCCCCAAACGCGATATAAAAGAACCGCGACAATATGACCCCGACAAAAACTCATACCGTTTAACAAATATTCACGGGAAAGCCAGCTACGGCCAATCTACAGCATTAGTCCTCCATGTCTACAAAAACTACTGTGTAAGCCGATCCCAGACCTCGTACATAGACGTCGAGAGAAAGACAGGATGGAACTAATTAAGAACAAATCTAGCCTATGCAGGTGTTTCTTCTTCGTTTGTGTTTCGCTCCACAAGAAGAGGGTGTTCTCTCCTAAGCGAACAACCTTGGAGTTGCACGACGCCACTCAGACGCCTGAATACGCCCAAGCGCAAGACGCGGAGACGATAATGAAAGGAACAAAAAAAAAAAGACGCGTGCAAGGCAAGAAGGCGAGAGGGAGAGGGGCGGGTGAGTTCTGGGTTCGATATGGTCACGGCTGAGCGGGCCCCCTGCTGACATGATCCGCCACATACATTTCTGCGATATCTGCATGCGAGAACATCTTGGACTCGATTTGTTCCAAAAGGTTTCTCCTTCCGTTCACGATACCTGGCTTGCCGCCCGTAGAAGCCGAAATCAAACCACTAGACTCGTCAGCGCTGACTAGTCTAGGGGTATGATCTCGGCTTCTATACGCCACAAGCAACTAGGTTTCATTAAGAGTTTCATGGCGCTACAGTACATTTTTCGCCACCACTTCAAGGCTGTGCATCGCACCAGCGCAAACGCCCTGCTGCTTCCAACAACAAACAAGCCGGCATCATCCAGGGTGTAGAGGGCCGACTCTCCGCCTTGAGATCGCCAGCATTCCTTCTCTCTTCTTCTCTCACCTCTGCTTGAGACGCCGCCGAGAGCAGGGCCAAGGACCCAAATCCAGCCAGCGGGGACGGCACCCCCGCCCAGGTCGTTCCAACGTCTTCGTCCCGTCTTCCTTCCGCCAAACCGTGGATCGATTCCCCAGCACCGTAGGAGCCCTGGTGAGGGGCGCCCGAAGAAGGTGCGAGCGTCCCAGCAGCGTTGATGGTAGCCCCGCCCGCTGCCTCACCGGCGACATCCTCGCGGTCGTCCCAGGAGAGAGCGGCCAGCTGGTCCCCCACAGAGGAGAGCTCGGCGGTTGAGTAGGAGCCGCTGTTGCTGCTGTCGGGAGGAGGAGGAGGGGGAGGAGGGAGGCGGCTCATGTCCGGCAAGTCTACGCCCAGCGCGCGCGATCGGCTCGGATCGCCGCCGAAGTGCCCTAGAACTACCCCGCCGCCCTTGTTGCTCTCCTCGGCGGAGCGCTGGAGCTGTTCGATCTGCTGCGTCAACGCGGCGATGCTCTCCAGCTCGTATCGTTGCCGCTGCATCTGCATCACCAGCTGCTCTCGCTGCTGCCTTAGTAGCTTATGCTGCTGCTGCTGCTGCTGCTGCTGACCGCTAGCAGCGCCGCTCTGCTGCTGTTGCGGCGCCCCGGCAGCGTCCCTCATCCCGAAAAACGGCGGCGCTGGCCTCGCAGGGTGCCTGTACTGAGTTCGGTTCCACAGCTCTTGTGCCGACGGGTCGGAGGCACCGCCGCCGGCGCAGCCGAAACCCTGGAAAGAGGCGGAGGCTGAAGTAGGGGACGAGCCGTCCAGCGGCGACAGCTCTAACGGGGGGGTGTTGCTTAGCGTCTCCGGTGTGGCCAGGGGGGAGTTGCGCCCCTTTCCCCAGCCGGCACTGCTGCCGTACGAACCGCCGCCGAAGCCTTGAGCGGGCTGCGGCGCGGGATAGTACGGGTTTCCGCCACCGTTCGAAAGGTCGTCCGCGCGACCGCCGCCGCCGCCGCCGCCGAACTCGAAGGGTCGGTCGAAAACATGGTCGGGCAGGCGGAACACGTCCCCCGTCGGCGACCCCAGACCCGCTCTCGCCGCCGCCGCCGCCGTCAACTCGAAGTGGCTCGCTTGTTGACCGGCGGGGGTCATCTGCTCCCCGTACTCGTTCGGCACGCCGGCGTGGTGGCCGTATTGCTGCTGCGCGGGCGCCGTCGGGCCGCCGCAGCCGTCGTTGCCGTGGCCCACCAACCCCGGCGCGCCAGTCGCCCCGCCCCTCCGCCCACGCTGCCCGCGGTGCCTCCTCCTGCGGGGCCGCTCGTCGCTGCCGCTGAGGCTGAGGCCGCCTCCGTCGAGCGGCAGGGGCGAGCCCGGCGTCAACGGGGCGCCGCTGCCCGCCCACCTCGCCGCCTCAGCTCCCGGAAACGCTCCTCCACAGCAACCGCCGCCACGGGTCCGGCAAGGGTGGCAGACCTGCGGGGAGGGTGGCAACGACATCGGCAGTGCTTTTGGTGGCGGAGGACCGTTCCCCCCCGTGTTGCCGTGGCGGTAGATCTCACAATCGTGCTGGTGCTGGTGCTGCTGCCTGCCGCCCACGCCCATGTTGCCACCGTCTCGCTGGGGCTTCCCGGCGCCCTCTCTTCGGTACGGCGCCGGCAGCATCGCGCAGGGCGGGGGAAACACCGGGTTCGTCGGCCGGGGGGCGGCCGTGTTGCCGCGGTCTCCGAGGACCTCTTCCTTGAACGCGAAGCTGGACCCGTGCCGGGCGAGGCCGAGCTGGACCTCGTCCTGCGCGCGTTTAAAAAAAAAAAAAGTGGATTTAAGTAACGGAAACACTGCTGTTTTGTGGACAGGATGGGAAGGTCGTCGTTGCTGAAACGTCGGAGAGGAGGGTGAGGGCTTTCGGTGCCGTGGAAAGCTAGTACGTGGTATGCATGCTTTTCGTCGACACCGCCGCCGGAAAACGGACGCGACATGAGACTTCCGCCGCCTCTTCACATGACACCCAATTGTACTTTCGAAAAGCAACGTGTTCCGCATGCTTCGTTTCTGTGGGGAAAGTAATAGCTACGTGGTCACAACCAAAAACGCGATAAAACACTCGTACAAGACCCTTCGAGCCTGAAATTTCAGCGCGAGAACACGATGAAAATCCATCCTGAAATATAAATAAATGTATACTTCTATAACGTGTCATTTCTCTGTCTGGTTGTGTATGCGAAACCAAACCATCATGGGTGTGCTCAATGGACAGGCGCGACGAATATGAAAGCGTGTCCGTTGTGTACACGAAACAGACGGACCTGGGTCATGGGAGACGGGGCAAGATAAGGAAAAGCTGTTCTACGCAAAACAATCCACGCCCATTTGCCGAAAAGTCATACATGTATGCATTGCTCGAGCGACGGTTGGCACAAGGAAACTCTTGCTGTTGTTGTTGTTGTTGTCTTCACAAACTCTGACAACGAATCAACCCAATGCAGAACCACAAAGGAAAAAACAACAACGCCGACGCCGTCGGAACAACAACAGGAATATTGTACACATACACAACGCGGCTTAGACGACCGGCGAAGGGCACGAAAAAAGAAAGAGCAAGGGTGTTGCAAAACGTCGACCAAAAAAACATGTTGTACATACCTTGGTGAAACGGTCCTCCTCGTCGCCCAGCTCATGAAGGTAGAGGCAATCCGGGTTGTTGCAGGGGAGGTTTCGCAGGAAGCTGTTGCAGTACTTGGTCGTGCCGAAGCTTGCCCGAATGGTGCGCCCCATCAGGCGGAAGCCGTCGACGGAGCAGACGGCCGCCCACGCGTCCTCCTGGCGGCGGAAGGTGATGTACGCGCTGGCCGAGCCGTAGCGAGGGTCGTCCTGGGGGACGCCCTCGTGGTGGTTGATGACAAGCTTGGCGATTTCGCCGTACTGGCCGAAGTACTCCGGCTGGCACACAGACACCGGAAGGGAAAAAAAAATGGTGGGGTTGGTTGCTGTGTATTGGGGTGGGCTTGCTGAGGGTTGGTTTTGTCTGAGAACGAAGGTCGATTGGAGCAATTGAACATGCGCTGCTCCGCCGGAGGCCAAAACAAGATGGTGGAGGATGGTTGTAATGTTTGGTACCATTGTGGGGGGTCGGTCTGGTCTCTAGAAAAAAGGGTCGATTTTTACTAGCAATCGGACATGCGCTCCGCGCAGGGGAGAGGTGCGGTGTGTTCGTTGCCGCTTGGCTAGTGTAGGCAGGAAGCGGATGCTGTCATCTGTCATTTTGTCCAAACAAACACGAACCCAACATGTTTCTTGTTTTCCCGAGAAGAGAGCGATCGATATCAATGCGCGTGTCCGCAACTGCCGATCAACTACTGCAAACCAGACGTTGAAATTTCACGAGGGTGCACGTGAAAAAAGTCGTTCCGCAACCGATGGGTGTGCTAGATCAGAAGGAACAGAGACACAACAAATGCCACTGACGGATGGAAAATGCGGCGCTGTGCGCACCAGCTTAAACGGCTACTGCTTCTGTTCTGTTCACCTGCTTGAGCGTGTTGACCTGGGCGAAGTTGGGCGACAGACCGATGGCGTAGACGAGGTTGCGCCGGACGACGCGGAGGTTCTGCAGGGCGCGCCGATCCGCCCCTCGAATGAAGACGCCCTTCTGCTGCTGCTGCTGCTGCTGCTGCTGATCTGAGCCCGGGAAGCCCTCGCCGTTCGCGGCGTGATTATGTTTTTTTTGTTCGCCTTCTTGTGCGGGGGTCACCGGGCGGGTGCTGTAGCTACACGAGACGGAGTAGCTCCCATCCCACGTGTTGTTGTCCCTACTGTGCGGATGGAATGGGGGCGCGGCGGGATGGGGGGTGGGCCATCCATGTAACAATGCCAGTTGGTTCGGCGTGCATGTGTGTGTGGATATCTACGCATATTATCGCGGAGACGCAGCCAATGCAGCGAGGAGACCGCTTCGAGCGCTGCCGCGGGGGCGCCAAAAACACAACCAAATACAAGGATGCAACGGAGTGCGAGACGGCTGCGGGGGGGGAGGGGGGGGGGGTTGTGTCGGAAACGCACCGTACATGAGGAAAATCGTTTGTTCCCGCGGGAGGACCACAAACGAGGGGGGGGCGCGAGTTAAATAAATCGATGCTGGCTCGCCGAAACACTTGGCACCCTTTCAGCGCATCTTGGATATGCAAAGGAGGTTCGAGATACTCTGATGTACAGCAGTGCAGTTGTAGTGGTTCTGGCGTGTGTCATTCTCTTTTTTCTCTGTTTTTCTTCTTCGTCTTTTCCTCTTTCGTTGCAATATTGTATTTTCCTTTCCCACTACCGCCGCCGTCGGAGAAGGGTTCAGGACACCAGAAGATGCCGTCGGAGAAGGGTTCAGGATACCAGAAGATGACTTCATACTGCTGTCTCTGAAGTACCAAGACTGAACCAGGGAATATACCTACCACTCTGGCCCGTGATATTGACTTCTAGTCTATGTTTACCTCGCATAGCGTGTAGAGGCAGGCGGAGGGTTCTAGGCTATTTGGTGTTGATTTCTTTTGACTTGCGGACTATTTCGGTCCACATACATTTATTATACGTTCTGGGTAAGTTAACCTGAGACCACCGGGATTGAGAGCGTCAAGAGTTAAGACTCTATTAACGTACAACAGATGAAGCTAGAGAGACCGGAACGGTTATTAATGTGAAGGCAACAACAGCAATGGCATTTCCTTTCCGGATGATGACCGTCTCTTTTGTGAAGTACCACAAAAGATTGAGCAAAATATGTATCTCTGGCCCGCGATGTTGACTTCCAGTCTATGTTTACATAGCATAGCGTGTAGAGGCCGGATGGGGGTTCTAGGCTTATCTGTCGTTGATTTCTATTGACTTGCGTACTATTTTGGTCCCTCTTGGGTAAGCTAGCCTATATGGTATACATATTCATATGCATATGAACAATAGGTTCAAGATGTTCTCCGAAATACTATGTGCGACGAATGTAGACCCCCGATGAACGAAATATTCAACATTCACTTTTTTGCAGTATCGCAACCAACCGCGTCCACCCCTCGCTCTGTTGATCCATCAACAACGAAGCATGGAGCGGTGGGTGCATCAACATGCCACTCACTGCGTTCAGTACATACAACCACACACGAAGAACCCATCACAAAAACAAACAGCCTCACATTATAAACAACGCAATTTCAATCTATTTGAACTTTTAGTAGAGGCACGCACTTGATGCCAGGGAGGCACGCGGGGTGGAACGGTAATGCGTCGTTGTTGCAAAGAGCACACATCTTGTGAAATTGCAAAAAAAAAAAAAAAATCAGTTCATGGGAAAAATCAGTTAGTGGGGGGGCGGAGGGAAAGAATGGCACGCGCTCCAGGCTCGTGGTGCGCAGGATCTTTAAAAAAAAAAAGAGAAAAACAACAGGTTTGTGTTGTAGATCAATGGAGGTTTGCCCAGCACTATGGAGAGCCGTGCTCGACCGTACGAGGGGGACACCGGCCTTGCACCCAACCATAACGAAGGAGGGCTACGTAACTCAGCTAAAGGGTGTTGGCGTGGTGTGCAATACCAGTATATACTTGTCGACAGGAAACACACACGTGGTCGGTTGCAGCGTTGCAGCAGTATGCGGAGAAAAGCGGACACGCGCCAGGTTGCTGTTCAGGTTGTCAGGAGCGCATGTCATATGATGGACGGCATATATATATACGGGGGATCTACATGTGCCCGGTTGCGCGAGCGTGCCTCTGTGCCCGTACAATGGCACCCAAAGCGCCGCTAGCGAAGATCCAGTGTGCTTTCGGGGGGGCAAGGGGAAAGGTCTCACCTCATGATGTCTGATCTGTGCGGTCCTGTTAGCTGCTTGCTGTGCTGCCTGTTGCTGGAACTTCGCCCCTTCGAAGTGGCTGTTTGTGGAAAAACAGCAGAAGAAGAGAGAGAGAGGGGCCATCAGCGCAATGCAACCAAGCAGGAGCGAGGAGGCAATCTCCGCCTTCCCTCTCTAACACGACGACCAGGAGAGTATGATGTATACCACGTTCCTCTGTTTCAACAGGTGGAGTGTCAGGGAACACATGCAGCTATTGCTTGCTGCTAGCTGCAGGTGTAGCGTAAAATCCACGAGCACGTACCATACGCAAATCTACCGCCGCTACTGGGGGCTCGATCAATACTATAGAGTAAGCCCGTGGATCATTACTAGAGTAAGCCCTTGTGGCCTGGGAAGCGTCTCACCTTGTAGATGCTCGAACTACTGCTGTCTTGGATGCTCCAGGCCTGTCCCTTCAGGGCCGGAGGGCTGCCTGCTCTGCTGGTTGCCTGCTGCCTGCTGCTGAAAAGGCGCTGATGTATCTCGAAGATGTCTCTACAAAATACGAAGATTCCTTAGTGTCCGACAGACACCACCACCACCGCTCCCACGAATGCGGATGCAAAGAAGTAGCGACGAGACCCAGCAAAACGAGCTGTCGGCCTTGTGCTGTGCCTACCACCGTTGGTTTCAAATCCACTGACTGCTGTGTGGGCTTTGAGTGTTGGGAGTGCGACGGCGGTGAGTGCGCGCCTTCGGAAAAAATGCTGTTTTTTTTTTTTTCAAAGCTCGAGCCCTGCCTCTCTCTGTGTCTGTGTATGAATCTTTCCTTCCAGTGTGCCAGTGGAATCTTCTTCGCGTGCTAATTCGAGAAGAGAGAGGGGACGGGGAAAAAATATCCCCTACTTTAGTTTGCAAACACGCCTCATTCGTTCCACAACCAGCTAATTTTTTTTCTGATGGCGGTGCCCCCGCGCGTGCTCCCACGGGTTTGCTGCTCCACACGCGACGACGCACGGGCCGGACACAAAGCATTGGGAGAGAGCAGCGACAAAGCTACCCACCGTCGAGAATCGTGAGCAGGTTTTTTACCCGTTGTACTCAGCGTGTTGTTTGTTTCTTTCGAGGTAATGCAAATACACTTGCTTTCCCAACTACAACTCGTCGTGTATGCGACGGCTGCGGCTGTGTGTTGTTTGCCCTCTTTGATGCTGCTGTGTGAGCCCTTACTACTGCGCGCTACCGTGTGCTCATCGATGACATGTGTGCTGGAATGTCATGAGATGCAGGTGCCCACTCAAGAAGCGCCTGCTCTTGCTGTTTCCGTTAGTTGCTCATGCCAGCTTGTTGATGGACGCTCCTGCTTGTCTCCCAGCAACAATCATGTACTGCTGTAGAATCCTTCTCAACTGACACGTTGCAATCGCCGGCTTCTGCTTGTTCTCTGGGCTGACTACACCACTGCACCGCCCCTTGTCCACTCTACGAATTCCGGCCCACTCTGCCGCTCCGATCGTGTTCTTCCCCTCAAATATTGCCTCAGAAAAAACGCCCGGAGAAAACATGGCGCGCGGCTTCTGCGCCGTTGTTGGGGCGCTGCTGGTAGGCCAGGCGACCGCGTTTTTCGGCTCGCCATCGGCGTTCATGACGGGCACCATGTCGCCCGGCCTCAGGACGCCGGGAGCGACGTCGGCTCTCGGGCGGGAGGCGAGGACCTACCGACGATTGTCGACGGCGAAGTCGGGGGCCGCCTCCACGGTGATGATGCCCATCGGCGTGCCTAAGGTGTGTGCGATCTGTGTACATGTGTACATACTCGCCAACACAAGTGGGCGTGCGAGAGGTGGTCGCCTTCTCAACAGCAGTCAATAGTGTCTCGTGCTGAGAGCCTGTTCTGCTGGTACCCACCAGAAGGGGGATATCGCTGTATGCTGCTTGGGGAATCGTAGAGACGCAGGTTTGCCGTTGAATTAAGTCATTGCTATTCTGTCCCGGACTCATCATGTCTGTGGAAGAGATGGAATTCGTTGTGTTGTTGTATGAAGTACAAGAATACGAAAGAGGTTCGCTGCAAGCAAGCGCTATCATATAGCTCTTGCCTTGTCACCGCGTTCAAACACGTTGCTTTTATGGTCTCTCCCACAAGGCTTTTGCGCGTCGTTTGTGGCAGGGATGTTCACATTAGTTGCATGCACGCATAAGGCACTTGTGTGTGCCTCTGAGCAAGGTACAGCAGGACCCATCGGAAGCAACGGAACAGGCATGATCCACCCGGTACCCACCGTTTGTTTGATCTGTGGCTTCCATGTTCCCGTGATGTCCCTTGCAAGTCATCAACGATGACAAGCCTCTTAGCGTCGTGCTGCGGGGCACAGCAGTATCATCAGAGTTACCCATGGGAGGCGAATGCGCAGTTTCGTGACAGCGTTTTTCGCCCCGGGCGTGGAGGTAACGAGCCCCCAAGTCGCCCGGGAGACATGTCCAGTTTCTTGGGTGGCTTTCCCGCATTTCGGGGGATTTGTTGTTAGCCCAACAACTGGACAAGGGAGATTTTGTGGTCTTGCATCGTCTTGGGTGCAGCAATGGACGTGCCCATGGAAGGGTTGGAGCAAGAAGGAAGAGGGGGAAGGAATGGGCCAGCAGGTCTGTGTGCCGATGACATGTTGGCACTCCTCTAGTGTTAGCACAAGGTTGGTTCACTTCGCGTATGCGTTGATGCAGCAACTGCCCCGGTGCTGCTGCAACAAGTACCCAAGTGCTGCTGCCGCGCTCCCGCGCCATGGCCGCCTCGAGGTGGTGGGTGTTGCGTGTGCGATGCTGCCAACAGCTGGGGGAGCAGACGCACCGAGGCTCGCTCTGATTTCTATTTTTTCTTTCATATATCTGTCGTCCTGCTGCTATGCATACATACTGCGTGGCATTATAAATCATTCTGCACAAATGGAAGGTGATGGATCCTGTGTTTTGTTAGCTCCAAGTTATTGTACTTGTGAGAGCAACACACCTCGCGCATGCCGATCCCACTGTGTTTTTGGTCAAGCTAGTGCAGCACAGATGCAGACAGAGCGCTGTCGACGCACACAGGTAGAGCCGACGTGGCCAAGCCAGTCAACACATCTGTTTGTTCTACCCTTGCGTCGTTCTCGCGTCTGTAAATCTATATGATTCGTGAAGGTGGCGTACCGAGTGCCAGGGGCGCCTACCGCGGACTGGGTGGACATCTACAACCGGCTCTACCGTGAGCGGATCATTTTCTTGGGGCAAGAGATCGACGACGAGCTGGCCAATCAGATCATCGGGGTTCTGCTGGTGAGATTTTGTTGTTTTGCTCGGGTCTCGCTTGCGAAAAATGTACTTCCTAGTTCTTTGTTAGAAAATATATGTAAGCATGTATTTTTTTTTGTTTTTCTCCCGTCATTGGGCTCTGTCGTCTGCCCCTCTGGCCCCCATCCTCCACTTCTACTAGCTAGACGACCCAACCGGGGTCACATAGGAGCGGGGGTTGGACCCCCTCCTGCGGTTATGTACTTGGCTGATTCTTTTTTTGTCCAAGGTTGATTACCTGCCCACACTGCCGTCCGGTGCTGTTTTTTTGCCTCAGCACCCGAAAGAAAGAAACAAAGCCGTCACGAACGCGAAAGGCCAGCCTTGTTATTGTCGCTGCTGTTGTATCTGCTTTGGTTCTCTGATGCCAAGTTTGTGTTGACGTCGTAGCGCCCACCACCATGATGTACTGTATGTTGTTTACAGCCACCCGCGAATGCTGTCGCGCACCACGCAGCTACATCTACGACACAAATCTGCTTTGCGAATTGACCCCCGTCCCTCCATCCACCCAATCGGTCCATTCTAGACTGAAGTACGCGTACCCCTCCTTTCGTATTCCCAGTGACGGACCTCCAAGGGCAATGCACCAAAAATCCTTACAACGGCTTTTTGCGGCGACCGACATGTCCACCTCATGGCTACACCTTTGCGCTGCTTTTCCCACCGCAGACGCCCCTCCCCCCTTCCCTAATTTGAACACACTTTGCGTGAATTTCCCTCTTTTTTGTTGCTCTCGCCCGATTGCAGTACCTCGATTCCGAAGACAGTACGAAGCCCATCTACCTGTACGTCAACTGCCCCGGTGGCTCGGTCATCGCCGGCCTGGCCCTCTTCGACACCATGCAGCACATCCGCTCAGAAGTGGTGACGATCAACGTCGGGCTTGCCGCATCGATGGCTTCGTTCATCCTCGCGGCGGGGGCGAAGGTGAACCGGTGGCGTTGAATGTGTGCATCTACCCCACCCCCGCCACAGCCTCCATATAGATGGATGGATGCACCGCCTCCATAAGATGGGTGCGGGCTGGGAGTGGTGCAGGTCGTCGCTCGCCCCGCAGCGCGCTCTTTGCTCTCTCACAACTCTGTCGTTGTTCGCATCCGCGTAAAAACACGCCAGGGAAATATGATACAGAGAGGACGCTTTCCTGACTCTGTCCAATGTGTGTCGCTGTATCTAGGCCTTTTTTTTTGTGTTGCTCTTGTCTTCGGAGTGTCGTATTTTGTGTTTCCCCCCCATCACCGCGGTGGTGTGACGGAAGGAAAGGTTGCTGCTGCTGTTGTGTGTCAAACGAGCCCGTAGTGGCGTGTAGGGGGTGGGACGGGTTGTGATGCACGCCAGGTTTTGCGCCCCTGGCAATTCATGCTCCGCGCGTGTTTGCTTGCCCATTAGAACCCGAACCCGAGCGAAACCGCGCGTTCTTTCTCTGTATGTGGCCCACCCTCCCTCTGTTTCTCTGGCTGTTTTGCTCCCCTGGCATCGATCCGGTTGGGCCGTGCGCCGCTGCGGTGTGTCCAAACGTGCAAGGAAAGCGCATGGCGCTGCCCCACTCGCGGGTGATGAT